CTCTTTTTCCCTGTTTTTGTCATGATTTAAAGCAGGAAAAAACCTTTGGACTGCTGAATAATTTGCACGCATTTTCACAAGGTGCTTTACATTAACTATGTATGGTGGAATGTGGGCCTGTATGTGTGTGTGTGTGGGGTGATTAGCCTGTAACATACGTGCACATTCGCATGTGAATTGTCATTAAAAAGGAACATTGCCTGCAGGTGAGCATGCACAAAGTTCAGAAGTCTGGTGGAGTCCATGCTCTGATTTCCAAATAAGACTTCAGTGGTTTCTACATAGACTGTGAAGTCTTCTATCAAAACTAAACAGATACAAAAACAGCTCATATGGATTCAATTCGTAGTAGGACGATAATGATATATGTTGAAAATTAATTTTCCTCAATATTAATATAAAACATGGTCAATATCCTTTTCAATAGTCTGCATTCTGCTTTAGTAGACTATTCGAGTAGCCAATGAAAAGGGGAGTTACTCCAGGTCCAGGCCACGCTGAACCAATCATGTGCTGACTCTGAACCAAGTAGCAAACAACTGCGCAGTATCAGGCTGCAGCTACATGCAACCATAGCACTTAAACACGAGAAGCAGACAGCACTGTCAGTGAGAAAAAAAGAAAATGAGTGCTAACCCCGGAAGAAATGCAGATGAAGGCTCAAAAGATAACAACATCGTCGACAAGACTGGCATGAAAACGTTGGTGGTGTGGAGGTATTTTGGTTTTTTTGAGGTCGGACATAAAGCAGAGTAATGTGCACTGCAAATTATGTCGAGTACATGTTCTCACAAAGTCGGGGAATACCTCAAATCTTTTTCACCACCTGAAGCAGAGCCATGAGGCAGAGCATGTACATTGCAAAAGGTTACTAACCCCGAGTGGAGCAAGGAGCCCATAGCGCCTGTGCAGATGCAGTATATTCAAGTATTGCAAAGGACGCGCTCCCAATAAGCACTGTTAGATTTCATTTTTTTGTATCATGATATATATCGTTATCGACTGAAATAAAAAATATATTGTGATAAACTTTTTTCCCATACCGCCTTGTCAAAATGAGAAGAATGCTGTAGGTTAACAGAGAGAGTATAAGAAAAGGCAATAGAGAGAGCGTTTACTGTGTTGAGAGGATCTCAGCAGTTGTCTCGGATACTAAAATAATCTGGTTTGTAGAGTAACTGAGTGTTGGCAACGACAGAATACGGGCTATCCAGCAGATAGACAGTCATACATCAAGTTCAGTGGTTCATCTTGTCAAAGGGTCTGTATTTATTCCTCCATGGGAGAGCTGTTTAACAGTCTGAGGAGTCCAGAGAAACATAAAACACTAAACTTTAGAAGCTGCTTCTCCTCTTTGCAGATGAAGTACTGTGCTTGTCTCCATCTCTCACTGAGATCTGAGGCGCTTCATCATGACCTCCTCTCAAAGGAGCGCCTCCATTAAATCAAGTTCAACTTTATCTCTTTGTTTAACAGCCATTGTGCGTAAACAGAGAGAAAAAAAAACTGTAGATACAAGCGGGGAATGACAGTAGAAACATCCCACACATCAATTCAGAGGCAGAGATGCCTATGATATGTGGATGTTTGATTATTTATGATCTATTTATTTTCTGCCACTGGCTTTACATGCACATGGTGTTTTGCTCTGGTTATCCGCAGGCACCAGAGGATGTCAAATTAAAGGACCAAACAGACTGTTTGCCGACTACCTACCTCTGTGGGGAAGATAACACTAATGTTGGCAGGCACACCCGCGTACACACACATGCTACAGCACACATACACAAACACACACACACACATTCCCTTTTTTTCTGTTGACTGCTGGAGATTGTATGCTAAATATAGGATACAGTAGCAAAGGGATGTGCATAATGCAGAACCATTTTCCTGTTTGTACTGCATTAAGGTCTATTTGACACACTCTCCTTCCGAATAGATTCAACAGCTGTACGATTTACCCTCCAACCAAATGCGCCGTTCGCATGGAAATGAAAGGTATCCATATCAGAGCAAAACATTATCTCTGCATTTAGCTCATTTATTGTGTCAGAGATAACTGTCTAATTAGGGGTTTAGAATGACTGACAAAACTATTAGAAGGGAAATAACAGAAAACGCCATGTTGAATAAAAAACAGTAAAAATGACATGATTCTCAAACTAACCTACATGCTTTATGTTTTAAGTCTTTTTTATAAACTAAATTCAACATCTTAACATGCACCATTGCTTATTTTCTGCCAGGTTTGAGCTATTATCTCTGGGATGTGTACTATTTGATATATGTGATGGTAGAAGGTAACAGAAAAGCTATGAGGACATCTGTCTTTAGACACTTATCAAAACACTATAGGTGAAAGCTTATCTGAAGCTCTAGTTGCTGCATGTTACTGTAAGATATCTAAATTTAGTCGTACCACCATCTTCATGGGGAATAAAAAGTGTGCAAGTAGTATTTAATGCCTTACTTACAGAAGAGGATTAGGGCCACAAGAAGAGAAAAAAAATAAAAAGGAGGGAGATTTTTTTAATTTCCATTTCGAGATTAATGTTGAAATTTTAAGATTTAAGTCGAAATTTGAAAAGTCAAAATGAAAAAAGTCAAAATTTCGAGATTAAAGATAAAATATTGTGAAGTAAAAATGTCAAAGTCTCATGAATAATGTCAAATTCTGAGATTAAAAAAATTTTAAATTTTGAGATTAAAGTCAAATTATGGAGATTAAAAATGTAAAAAATTTGTAAATAATGTCGAAATTCTGAGATTAAAAAAAATAAAATTTGAGATTAAAGTCGCAATTTCGAGATTACAAAATGTCATGAATAATGTTAAAATTCCAACTTTAATCTTGAAATTTCAAATTTAATCTCAAAATGAAAGTTAAAAAAATCTCCCAGCTGTAATTTTATTTTCTCTTCCTGTGGTCCTTATCCTCTTTCGTACTTACTAATGCATCTTGCACAGTGGGTTAAAAATGAATGCTGTATGCTGCATGCAGCAGAGAGGACATGTAAGGTGTTGTTGTGAAAACACCACAGTGTTGTTAAATATCTCAGGGTGGGGCTAAATTAAAACTAAAACTCAAAGCAAGGCTTTAAAAACATAGAATTTTGGAGGAGACTGAATAGCATTTCTATAATCACAGGTCTAAAAAGTGAAAAAGAAAAAGCACAGCAGTGATTTCACTTCCTGAGGCGGCTCAACAAGTTTGAAGTGTGCAGCAAATCCTCAATAGTTTTTTTTTATAACTCTACTGCTGAATCAGTCCTCTACCTTTGTCATCATTACCTGGTTTGGTGGCCTTCCATTGGCAGACACAGAAAGGTTGGACCGCACTGTCAAGGTCGCCAACTAAATCAGTGATTTGAAACTCCGGGGTCTGTCTGAAGTTTTCCTCAAAAGAGAAACAACTTAAGCGAAGGCCAACTTTTAAGATTGTAGAATATGAGCTCTTACCCTCTGGCAAGAGATACAGACTACTTAAACTTAATCCAAGAGGCAGAAATTTTCTTTTATCACTGAAGCTATCACACAGCAGAATATTAAAAATGATCCAGAATGAAGCGACTTACTTTAACTGCTGATTTCTATTGATGGTTTTTGGGACACTTTTTAATTTTAGTTGACCTCTTCTTGTATGTCTGTGATCTTTGAGTATCTTTTGTGTTTTTTTGTCTCAATGTTTCATGGTTTTATCTGGCTGCAAAGCAAGTTTCCTTTAAGGCACAATGAGGTAAATTATTGATTTATAAGACTTTGATATGGACTGAAATTTGTAGTTGAATTTCACCTATGGAAGTGACTTTTGCCAGAAAAAATAAACATGCAGGTGTGTTCAGTCTGAATGTGAAGTATGGATGTAAACAATGAAGCAGCTAGCACATTATATATGAGAATTACAACATCCTCCTGTTTCTACATGCAGGACAGCACGCTTCGCTACCCTGCCAAGGACACTCACTCCAACAGAAACCTCTCAGTCTCTTTCTTTCTTCTATCCTTGTAAGATCACCATCCGTTATCAATTATTGAGACACTCTCTTGTCACTCTGTTCCTGTATCTGATAACCTGCAGCACCCTGACACATGCTCCACAGGTGACAGAGAGGTCCTTTAATAAGTCCCCCCTGTTATTGCACTGATTCCTTCCGCAGTATTGTAAGGGAGCGCTGACCTTGTCCTGGAGCTGGTGTGTTTTCGTTTCAACAATCCTCATCATACAGAGATACCTCAAACCTGTTAAAGGTGGGGTAGGCAGGATCTGTGGAAGTGACAGTTTTTTGGTAAACACTACCTCTCCTAACTTCAGCTCCTCCTCTCCCCTCCATCTCTGCTCCAGCAAGCCCCGCCCACAAACAGATGCTCCTGTTCGCTCGTATCGTTTCAATTAAATTCAGATGTAATGCAGATAAATACTTCAGATAATAACAAATGGGGCCCAGTCAACGTTAAAGTAAAAAGCATTGGTGCTACTGTAGATGCCAACAGACTACCAGCAAACACAATGTTTGCAGGACTTCTACGACTAGGATAAAGTGACATAGTCCAGGACCCGAGGTAAACAGTTTAGCGGTGCTACGACACACAGCAGGTCCCGTTTGAAAAGAAACTCTTCAGTTACAGACACTTGGCTTACTTAATTAAAGCGGTTTACCTGTCAAGAAGAAAGGTTATAGGGTCTGTAAGATCCCAACACTTCCTCCAACGTTTAATCACTGATGTTGACCCGGCTACTTAGCTCTTGTCCGGTCTACCTCCGTTTTTAGCGCCATTATTCCGCCAGAGTCTCCGGTATTTACTTCGTTTTCTTGCTTGTGTTGGCAGTCGTGGCTAAAGGAGGATTCAGACATTTTTCCGTACTTTCTGGTTGGTTTCTACTGTTCGATATCATAGCACGCTAACTTTGCTTGGGCTCGTGAACGACACGGGGGAGCAGCGTCTGCCTCACAACCAATGAGCACTAAGGAGCAGCTTCCACCTCACAACCAATCAGGTTGGCGGAGGCGGACAATGGCTTTGTTGACTTACACAGACATAACAAAACACAGCAACATCGTTATATTACCAAATGTCATCAATAACTAATATCTGTTGACTGATATTAAAAGCTTTTTTGTACATACATCACAAATAAAGATGCGTCTTTAATGGATTCCCACCTATCCCACCTTTAATGCATTAGATTACATTATATGTAATGTATGTACATAATGTTATGCCATCTAAATTTATAGATATAAGTCTACACCTATATCATTTAGGGCAATAAAGACCTTTGTAAGATATAACCCATGAGAGCACAGACACCTTTTTATGCAGCATATCCCCTTTTCTCAGCTTTCTTCTGTATTTTCCACAGAAGGGGTTCAAATGATTATCATTACATTTTATGGGGTGATAGTAAACCAAACAATCAGCATAAATGTGGCACATGCAGAGAACCCCGTACATCACACCGGCACCTGGGCCTGTTTATAGCGAAACACCTGAAATGCTTTAAAAATGGAAATTGAATTTACTCCCCCCAAGGTTTTTTGATGAAAGCGTCTTAGCTGGAAACCAAAGTGTTTATCAAATAGTTGGTGTGGCTGGCAGCTGCAATACAAGTTAGATTTGAGGCGACCTCATTGATTCCCAAGGCTTAACACTTGGCTGGAAACGAGAGATGGAGATAGACGGGAAGATGGGCAAGAAGACAAGAAGCTGCAGTGTCACAGAGGGAGAACGCTGGAAAGCTAATATCAAGAGAGAATAAGTGGCAAAGGGACTGTTTTTAAATTGAACTAAACTAGGTGGAAAAAGAGGGATTAAGAAGAGACAAAGCAGGGGGGAAGAAATAAACAAATCAGTTTGATCTATTTGAGACGCACAAGTTCCACTCATCAATTGTACATCGCACGTCAGCACAATGACCTCAGTTTTTCTAACGATCAGAAAAAGTACAAGGTCATGAGTATACAGTTTTCTTTATGGCTGAAATCCAACAGTTTAAGACTGAGCAAACCTTTATTTTATTGATTGAGACGTAGCAGTCTTCAGGCAATAATCTGTAATATGCACACAAGGAGGGTGAACTGACAACTCTGTCAAACAAGTCATCTATAGCCTCATTTCCAATGTCTTCTGGTGTCCACTGGGTCCATTTATCTCTTCAAGGGCAACACCAAAGGTAGCAACAACACACAAAATGATAGCGAGCAATCATGTCTGCACTCCATCATCTCTAATGCCTTTTCAGAATCGCCTACCATTCGTCTGACGCTATTTCTGCTTGTTGATGGGACTTCGTAACATCTCTGTCATGCTTTTCAAATCACCGGGTGAAAAGGGACATTGTCACCCTGGAAAACGCCGCTCCCTTCCAGACGCAGATTCATCACGGAGAGAAAGCTTTGCATGGGAGGCTTAGACATAAGAGGGGAAGAAATCATGTTTCTGTTGTCTCGGCGTTCTTAGGAATGACATTGTTCCTTAATGAAATTACAGCTCGATATCTCATATTGAAAACCAACTATGTATGGTTTTTGTTTATAATTGGATTGCGTGAATGCTTGTCGCCTTGAATAGAAACGACATATAAAAGATGTAATAGTAGCAAAGACATAATAACAGACACAAACACTCACACAGACTCACGCACTTATAAAGTTAAGATAAACTCAAACTCAGTATATTTTCCACTTTCAAAAGAGCGTAATCCTCTCAAAGGAAATAAGTTAGCTATATATTCACATGTGTTGCGGATTCCCTTTACTCTTAAAGTGAGAACCACTATATTCTAATGAGTAACAAAACATACACACACGTACTTCCACACAAACAGGCAGAGCTAAAGGGCTTAGAGAAATAAAAGGCACTAGACTTTTACGTAAACAATATTATCCTGTCCTTGAGCAGAGGCATTATTCCATTGAAAGCATACACTTTATATGTAAATGCCAGAAGTGATGATTATGTTATTCTAATCAAAATAGCCCTTTAATATTTTATAAGTTGTGGGTGGAAGGCAGAAAAACAAACTGCGGCTATAGCACACAACCTCATGCGGTAATGCTGTGACTGCTAACTCCTGCCTGTGTTTGCTGCGGAGGTGATGAGAATCCTATAAGCCATTTTTTGATGTGACTTTTTTTGGCTCCAGATAAGTGACTGTTACGCTTCCCTAAATTAGCATGTTTATTGCTGGCTGTGTCTCTGCCATGCCTGTTTGCATATCAAGCTTTTAGTCCATACACCCTCCTACTGTTCGGTTTTAAGTTGTGGGATTGTAAGGCACATTTTAGATGGAGCTTCCCACGCTTTTAGAGCAACAATTGTTCTGTTGAAACATTAAGCTCCCCATTATGCACTATTGATCTCCTCACATATTGTCTGCACTCTCTCTTGGCCCATTTACAAGACTTTTACAAAAACAGGGTGTGACTTTTTAATCACAAAGTGCACTCCAATTTAAATCTGCATTAAAAGATTTTTTGGCCTCTTTTCTGCTAAACATCCAGCAGCAAACACAACACTGACAATTATCGGCATTTAAACAGCTTTCTAAGTATTTGTCATGCAGGCAGGAAACAGCATCAGCTTTTGTGTGGAGTCATGTTTCCAGCTGCATTGTGCTAGTCAGTCCAAGAGTCACTCTCCCTTTGTCGGTCAATGCAGCATCTTTCTTTTTTGATAAGTTTGCATCCTCTCTCATTCTGGTAATTATCTATTTCTGCTATTTACCTTGTTTGTGATATATTCGACTGGTATCTTGAGATGTATATGAATTGATATATTTATTCTATTTTTTCTAATCAGGTTGACACAACACCCAAAACGCCAAAGAGAGGACAACCATCTTCAGGCAACAGGAGCCCAGACGCAGCAGGGAGCCCTTTGAATGCTGGAAAGAGACCACCCTTGGGTGATGGGAGTCCAAACGGTCCCTCCTCCAAAAAATCATGTGCACACCCCCCTCTGGACCTCACTGGGCATTTTCCACAAAAGACAACAAGAGGACGCTGCAGACATTGCAGTAAAGGGTATACTAATACCAAGCGCAGCAAGTGTAATGACCGCCTCTGTTTTTCAGAGGACAAGAACTGCTTCAATGACTATCACTGCAAATAATGTAAATTAATGTCAAAGTTGGTGTTGGAATAAATTACTCTTTAGAGCAACATGACTGAGATTATCATTCATGTTATATACTGGTTTGGGAACAGCAAAACCCTGCAAATGAATCCTTAGTTCTGTATTTCTGTTCAGACAATGAGTGGAAATACAGGAGATTCTGCCCCCCATGAAGCCCAACGTTGCAATATTACAACATTTCCGTAAAAACTTACTAAAACAGAACATTTTTGAAAACACTCCATTTTCACCCCCAAAGGCCTCCTACAACAACATCTGAATGATTGAAAAAAGTTTTTTTTGCGTTTTTCTATATTTGGGTTTTACAGGGTTAAGTTCAGAATCCCAGTGTGGGCTTATTCCAAAAACCTCACCATAAAGACTTTATAAAGATTAAAGCCATAACAATGCAAATGTATGTATTGTATCAAATTCAAATTGTTCACACACCTTAAAAATACATTGGAGCAGCACATGGCACACACAGTGCATGTTAAAAAAACAGCAAATACAGAAGGATAGAGATAACTCACAGGTCACTATTTACCAAATCTTTCTGACATCAACACGTTTCTGTCTCAACTTGTATTTAGACAAAATGTTTCTTCAGCAATAGACTTTGATGAAGATCTGTGGGGACAGTGCTGGCCAATATTACAAAAAGTGAGATATAGAGATATCAGACCACACTGTGATGCAAGAATACCAGATAAAATGTTTAAAAAAAAAAGTTTTTTTGACCTTGCCACAGACAAAACTGATGGGATCTTTCTATTTGGGTTTGTTATCAATTAAGATTCTCAAAAATCTTGTTCACGTGATTTTAGTTCTTCCATCACCATCGACATGCAACTTCACTATTTCAGCAAAATCATTCAATTTGTATCAAATGCAAAAATTATTGAGCATAATGTGTTTGACACAGGTCATTTATATAGATAAGGAGAAAAAATAGAGGTCCTGAAATAGAACCTTGAGGTATCCCAAACAAGATCACAGCATTCTCTGGCTCTGTGCTATTTATTTCACATACTGTTCTCTATTATAGATATGTATAATTGTGTAGCCACTTCTGTATATTGCCCTCAAGTCCATCTAAACAATTCAGTATCAAATATTACGATTAACAGAATAAAACGTTTTAGAGAGATCCAAAAAATGACCACACACAAACTCTTTTCTAATGCAGTATATGTCTCATCTACAAGCTGTAGAGGGTAGGTAGCATGGAATATACAAAGTGTTCATCTTAAATTCTTCTTTCTTTTCTTAAAACAGTCACCTGTTTTGTTGAAGCTTTGAAACTTTGTTTTGTGTTGTTTTAATTCCCTAACTCCTCTTTCCAACAAGGAGCTAAAAAATGTCAAAACACCAGCAGAGCAGGAACACACTCTTACAGGTCTATTTTTGATGTGCTTTAATGAGCTTCACACCTCCCAGCACTCAGTCATGCTTGAATCTCAAAAAAGAAAACACCATAGATGCAGCTTTCAAGTTAATTTTTAAGCAAAAATACAACAAGAAATACAATCACAGCAATGAGAAATGCAGGTTTGAAATCACATCATTGAAATTTAGATTTATAGGTAACATCTAAAAGCAAGAGCTTAAGCTCAAAATATAAAATAATATAAGGGTTTTAATAAAAAGTTTGATCTCTAATTCAAAATTTATTGTTTTGGTCTAAAACATCAATGCTTTTTCTTTCATGGACATGCAATCCACAGTATGCCCTCCAGGATTAGGTCTGATTGAAACTGGCTTGAAACGAGCAAGAGTATTAAAAGCTCACTAATGACATCAGATAGAAAAAAAGACTTTGACCCACATTGACCTGCATTTTACCTCCGGTCATTAAAATCCCTGCTCTCCATGTTCTGAGCTTTGCTGCAGTGCTTCACCGCTGCATGAGTGCTGGAGTATGAGACAGGGAGGGAGTAGAGATGCTGCCGGGTCCCCTAGGTATCAGAAATTAGGTCACGCATGCAGAGAAATGAGAGATTTCTGTGTACAATATACTGGAGTAATTTATGCAGGTTTTCAGGGTCTCTTTCCCCTCAGACTTGGGTGTTCTATCTGCAGATTCTTTCCCCCTCTTCTCCACAGGCCTGAAACAAATCAGTCCGGCATTTATTTTTGGCAGAGCCGCAGTTAATGAGAAGAGAGGAACCACGCTTCTCACAGCCGCTGTTTGTAACTTGTTTTGACTTAAGGTCTGAGTTCTTGAGTCAACACTGCAACATGAGAGCTTGCACTTCATTTTCTGAAAAATAATTACCTGACATAGAGCTCTGTGAAATCAGTTTTAATTTGTCCCTTATTCTAATTTAATATGAATTAGTGGTTATGATTTTACCATACTATACCTACTGTAATGGAGCTTAATTTAGTCAGTGTGCAAGAGACACATAGACTAACATAGAAATGCTGGATTCACCCATACAAAAATGTAAGGTCAGATGCTTTCTGCATTGTCTGTTACTATGGTGAACTGCGCACTAAGCCACATTATCATTCAATGTTTGCAATTTATCAAGTTCATGACCTGAATTAGCGGCAGTGTCACCTCCCAGATAGCAAGCGGGACCAAACTGTCACTCAAAGCTCTCACACCCTTCATGATTTGAAGCTGCACTGTAATTCAAACATGTGAGGGTTATATGAAAACTGACAGCTGACCGGTTGTCACGATAGAGGGAAATTAGCTATAGAAATGTGTTTTTTTAATGGTTTAGCTGTACTAATATTGAGGCATATGGGTAATGCTGCGCTTTTAAAGTCAGTCTGAAGTGGCCTATATGGGAGAGGTGTGGTTTTTATCTGCTACAACCTCTGGGGTTGTTATTGAGCTTTAAATTCACCAGGTGCTTGAGTGGGTTAGCATGCCCCACCTTAGGGACCACGGTCCTCGCAGCGGTCACAGGTTCGAGTCCGGCCTAAACCATGTGCTGTATGTCCTCCCCCTCTCTCTCTCTATCTCCCCATACTTCCACCCTGTCCTATCAATAAAAAAAGGCAAAAACTCGATAGAAAATACTAAAAAAATAAATAAATTCACCAGGTGCTGTGGAGGTACAGAGGAAATAACCCTGCTCCAAACTGGGAAAATAATCATGGAAAATGAGACTTGGCGAATAGTTGCGCTAAATTTGCAGGACTAAAGCAAGGAAAAGTAATAGACAAACACATATTACAGTAATTATTATTATCTGTAAAGTGAAAAAAGCAAGTCTACAAAAATATGAATGTAAGACTCAAAGTAGACTCAATAATACAACTAATTAGTTGTGTGAAGAATGACTATATGAATCAGTCGAACAAGGCCATCACAGAAGAAGCAAAGAAAATTGAAACATGACTTTGAAGGCTTCATAATGAATTTATAATGTCCTGTTTTACTCGTATTCTACTGATTAAATATTCCAATGTCTGCACACTGTACCTTCACAACTAATATTAAGCGACTAATTAAGCCAAAGTCCTCGGAAATGTATAGAGACTCTGAGATTTTGTTTTCATTAAAGGACTGATTAAAAGCCAGTCAGTGGCTGTTTCCGACTGTTTCAGCCTTGACAGAAAGTGGAAGACAGCTGTTGTACTGTAACTGTAGTTCAATTGTCAACATTTCAACAAAATAAAACTGTGATAATAAAGAAAAGAACTTGAATCAATAACCTATTTTACATTTCTTTTCAGATGACCTCAGTTCAGTGATGAAGACGACAGGGTATAAAAGGGAGAGGATGTAAAACGGAGGAAATAACCTTTAAAATATAAGAGGAAAAAAAACATGCAGATTTCATCCCCTTTTTCTGAGTCAGTTTTCGATCATTTCCACTGAAACGCATTAAGTATTTTTATATTGATTTAGCTGACAAGCAGGCGGACAGACTGGACCGAAACACCTCTATTTCCTTCATTTGTACCGGCAGCAACAAGAAAATTGATGTGAAATACAGAGTCCGCATTAAAAAATACAGCAAACCCTCCCTGTCTGCACTGTCTGGGACATTTTTTAAAACGGAAAGGGAAGTCAAATGGTCAAGCAGCGAGACAGAACCAATTTCGAGTTTCATAATGGACTTCCTCAATAGTTTTGGTTGCCCCGTGTCTCACTATCACACAACAAAGAGCTGCCATGTTGATGCTATTGTTTCATACCCTTTCTTTGGTCAAAGCAACTTTGTACTCCCGATCCTGACAGGAGGGTTTCTGACCCATAATGACAGCCAGCAGCTCACAGCTCACATCAGAGCGCTCCAGTGACGCATATACAGTGTGCCCTGGAGTAAACCCAGATGAAGATCCCCTCAGAGGTCTGAACTGGCGTTGTGTTGAGGATAGTGCTGCAGAATCATGCATTTCAAGCACCTCTAAGCCAGCTATAGAATACAAAGCCAATGTATGGATGAAGAGAAAGGAAAAAAAAAACACATCAACATATCGCTGACTGTGCTTAAAGGAAGAATGCCGTCGATGTGAAGCTGTCTGAAGTGGCGCGCGCACGCAAACGCGCACTCGTACACACACAATCACACACAGACTGTCACACACACACACACACACCAGAGGATGCTCTACCTTCTCATTAAGGCGGTTATGTAACAGGGCTATCTGAATGCATAGCAGGTAAGAACCCTGCACCAAAATGCAAGGCTTTCCTTGTCACATGAAGAGATGAGAAAACTCACCAGTCGTCTCCAGTGGTGCGTTGTTGAGATTATCCTGCAGCTGTGTTGGAAAATATTTTAAAACAGGGTGAGCCAATTTTTAGATAAACATAGAAAACTATTCAAAATATCCCCCCCAAAAAAGTAAAAAAATCAACTTTACAATATCTTGTTTGGATTTTTTTATACAATGTTCACACAGGGCTTGAAGACCTCCGGCACGGTGCAGGAAATCTGGCTCAGGATTTTTTTATTTTTCTAAATCATGTAAAAAAATAAATAAATAAAAATAAAATCCTAGTTAGTTAGATCTGAATACGACCAGTAGAGGACAGCATTATGCTGGATAGCGTACATCCTGCCAGAGAAGAAGAAGGAGAAGAAGCGGAAGAAGAAAAAGACGCATCAGCGAGCGTCCAACAGCAAATTTCAAACAATGGAAACAATGTTTTTGGATCGCAGGGATCCTCTGCAAATTACGATACAATAGCAAGACGCTGCAAACAAAAATAAAAAGCTCCACTTTTAAACATAAGAGACCCCAAAATCACCACACCAAGGGACTCTTCATACTACAATACCACCACTACTACCATACTATAAAAAATTGACTTTTCAGGCACAGGATTTTTTTCTGCTTCAAGCTCTGTTTATGTCAATGCTGCAAGTAAACCTTAGACCCTCAGACAGACGATGGCAAACAACCAAGAAAAGGCTTTAAAAAAATGTTTGACCAATGCTCTGGTCACTTCTGTGAGCTCCCCTCTCGGGAATAAATTAGCAGCGTGGAAATATTTTGGATCTCCGAGAAAGAAAAACAGATAAAAGAGCACGCAGCATGAACTCGGTGTTGATAGAGGATGAAATTTACAGCAAATACAAAAATAAAGTTTAAAAATCATCCTTATGCTAAATCTGTCGGGTAAAAGATGCTTTCACTCGGGGTTATAGAAATGTAGATTATGAAAGATATTTACTTTACAGAATTGCAAACCAGAGGATTTCAAATCATACTGCATTGTATAATATAATTCTGCATTGTAGCATCCGTTGTATTTTATACTATAACATATGTTATGCTGCCTGCACTTCTTCAGCATTTTCACATTTTGGACACACTTCTCTTCGTCTAGTTTTGAATTCTTTAGGAAGTCCCTCCCCACAGTCCTCTCGCCACTGTAGCAGAGTGCAACTGAACCTCTTTCTTTTTTTCCTTTTGTTTAAATTCTTAAAAGCAGCGATCATCCCAGAGTGCTTCCTTCTGTTTTACTCTCGTTCTCTTGCCCTCCCGTCCCTGCTGATGTGAGCAAAGTGGCTTAGATGTGGTGACAGGGAATGACTCCTCAGAAGCCCGGACAGCTCAAAGAAGCTTATGCACATTTAAGGTTGGTGCGAAAAATACTTTAACAGAGGGGCAGAACGCTTTTGATCTGAACATTTTGGGATATCAGGGCGAGAACCTCTGCAGTATCCGACACTGAGGCATTTGTTCAGCAAGTAAAAAACTCGTTTTCTGATATGTTTCTATCCTCACAATTTTGAGGGATTATAAGAGCATGTTATCCACAAACATACACTTCATGATGAAACCCACACTGATCAGATTAAATGAGCCATGTATGAAAAGGTATTTGTATGTCATCTTGAGTGTTTCTTATTTCCTTCCATGTACTAAAACTTTGCCTCTCGAATGCATTCCTTCGGAGGGCTTACTTACTATAGATGCACCACTAAACCATTACTCAATCCCTTCAGGCAAAACTTGTGTTCCAGGCCACCCAGCCCCAAAACTGCTCATGATCTTTCAGCACTGGCAGAGGAAAAGAAGCAAAAATCTACCGCTGGATGACTTATATTTAGAGCCTCGCCTCATGATGAATTCTTGTATTCATGGGATTTTACAGCGGCAGCAGTTGCGTGTGGTTCTTAATGGTATATGCCTGTATTATTTCATCTTTGCATCCTGCACCATAAGCTTTTTGCAGCAATTTCTGCCGCCCACACGTTTTTTCCTTTTAATAAAAGTAGTATAATCTAGTTTGATGTGTAACTTAGAAGAATGGCGATTTGGAAAAACCTTGAAAATGAAATGAAATAAGACCTCGGGGAACAATGACATTTATTGTGTGATCCTCTGGGGTTGATAGGAGTATATTTTCCCAGTTAATTCATGACTTGGAGAATTCTTAGAGGTCTCACAGAGGACTTGTAAATCATTGTGATCCGTTTGATGGATGGGCATCAGAGGCCCAACACTTAAACTAAGGTCCTGTGTTGGGAAATGTGATTTTAACCTCTTGGTGTGAGAAATGGCCCAATGCTTATGAGCTCTTCAGACTCCCCAAGACACAAGAAGATCACATTTTTCTGCAAGTGCATCCAAACAACAGACGGAAGAGTAGGATGGCTCTGGAAGGCGCCCAAATGTTCTGTTTTTCTTGGGTTATTCAGAGGGCCATGTGCTTCTTTTCTATTATCTGTGCTCATTACCGTGGCAGGACTCTGTTGGAAAATTCTTCATTTTTAAGCTCTTAGGTGAATGATTCTTTTTAATTACAAAAACGTAATTAACTCCACACAAAAATGTAATTTGCAATCTTCTCTGGGTGCAATTAAAAGTGTGAGGTTTGCAGCAGTGTCAGTAATCATCCACCGCTCTTTCTGTGAGCCAAATCATGGCTATTATGAAACACCACATTTCTTTTTTTTTTAATAAAATAACTTAATTTATTGGGATTTTTCGCTAAATGGATCTAAAATTTCATGGGTATTCTACTTTGTTGCCAACTTGAATGTTATAGACATCATATAACATCTAACAGTGGATAGTTTATCTCTTAAAATCAGCAAACATATAACTGATGAACATTGATTTTAGAATAAATGTACAAGAAGAAGAAGAAGAAAAAGAAGATGAGTGTCACAATTAAGTAGAAAGGTTGAAGGAGTAGAAGAAGTCAAAGAAGAAGTAGAAGTAGTAGAGAAAGAAGTAGAAGTAGTAAAAAAAGAAGCAGAAGAAGATAGGTAGAAGTAGAAGAACTAGAAGTAGTGCAAGAAGAAGTAGAAGAAGAAAAGAGTGCCACGATTACAAAAAAGACGTAGTAGACGAAGAAGTAGAAGAAGAAGTAGAAGTAGTAGAAGAAGAGGTAGAAGAAGAGTAGAGTGCCACAATTAAGTAAAGGAAGAAGTAGAAGAAGTAGTAAAAGAACAACAAGAAGAAGAATAGAGTGCTACAATTAAGTAGAAGAAGAAGTAGAAGAAAAAGTAGAAGAAGAACAAGAGGAAAAAGAAGAACAAGAGGAAGAAGAAATTTATTGATCCCTGGGTGAAATTTGATAATAAATCCTCTTTTTCATATTGCACCTTCACAAATACAGCTTCATTTGATTCAATCTTGATCAAAATCCTGAACACAGTCTTCAGCTTTGTATTACAAATTATACTTTATATCTCCACCTTTTTAATTTGTCTCGTTTACCTTATAAATATGTATCCATTACGCTGAAAAGCCTCTCATCTTTGAGTTTCAGAAGAAAACATGCAGATTTTAGTTCAGCCTACACTGTAATGTTTAATGACATTTGGCAGCAGATCAGGATAACTGCAGGTCTTTTCACAGTTGGTCTTGGAGCAGCTAGACTTCAGAAGCTGAAGGTTAAGTGTGCCGCTCAAGGACATCTCGGTAAAAGCTGGTGAGCTACTTTCTCAAGATAAGATTTCCAGAGCTTTTTTATACAAATCACATTCATTCAAGTGGGTTTTTGACCAAAAAATACCGTTACTCATTGTCTTGGTGCTGATCCTTTGAGGAATAGATCATCCTCTTTTGGAAACAACATCTGGTAGCCTGTAGTAAATATATGAATATGCTTATCTTTCTGTGTGATGTAAGCTGGCGCTGTATACTTCATTTCAATAATGTTAATTTGTGAAACACTAAAACAGCTGTTGCTCTTCAGCCAGTAGGAAGATTTTCAGTCTCCTTTTCGACAAATCCACATTATAAAGCGGGGAAAACCTGACCTTGAATTTGCATCTTTTCGAGTATAACCCAGCGTGAAGGTTGAGAGAGTGACGGTGGTTTAAACCTCGTGGAGAAGGCAGAAGACTGGCGAAATACCATACTGCCATAGTCACACCGCATGATCAGTCTTACACTCTTGCCTTTAGGTGCTAATTAACAGATGTGTTATTAACATTAGCACTCAGTCATTTTCACTGATTTAATCACATGGTTGAAAAAAATATCCAACAGCAGTCATTGATGACTTATTCACAGATCACATGCTTCAAGATTCATGTCATTTATATAACTGAAATTTAAAGGAGCGGATTTTTTGCACTGTGTTTGATATCTGCTTAAAAATGTAAGTGAAGTGAAACATGCAGCAAATTTTCATCCTGATTTCAGTTCAGAAGGTGGAAAGAAAAACCAATACGAGCCTCACTCTATCATGTACTCCACTGAAGTACCAACTATTTCTATGCATCTGGTGATTCTTTTTCCATTACAGACAGATAGTGAATAATAACTCCACAGAATAGAGGGGAAAATGAAATTCCTATTAGCTCTAATTACTTCTCCCATTCATCCTTGGAAATGACATGAAGATTAATGAAGCTCTCCACTATTTTAAGCAAGGTTATTTAAATGAGTGATTCTACTCTCTTTACATCATTGCATTTATCTCAGCCCGAGACACATATGTTAGATTATTTCTAATCATTTCTGCCTTCTTTTATGATTGGAGATCCCGCTTAGTATTCTCTACCAGTACCTTTAAGTGAAATTCAATGAAAAAGGACTCGCACAGAAATGGCAGTAAATAGTTTGGTGGTTTTTGAGTGAAATCCAAACGTCTCTTCCAAAATTTTAATTAACATGATAGCTTTGGCCCCTGTCTCTCTTTAACAGAAGTATTTTGAATCAGCTTTTCAGCTTGTTGCAGCTCATATGATGACAAACAGAGAGACAAGAGCCAGCAGACTGCCATCATTATGCTTCAAGTGAACAAACCCAAGAGTGATAAATAGACACAAACCGGGCAGCATTTTTCTCTGAACATATTCAAATGTACTTTAGGAGTTATGTAAAATTCACTGATATACTGTGTGCAATAACTGAAGTCAGCAGAATATAGGATAGACAATTTAACAGGAGTTAAAGTGGTTCACAAGTTAGAGAGCTGAATTAAAATACGATTAACAGCATGCCGTGCTGAACTAACTTAGAAGAGAACAACTGCATTAGTGAAAGCCCATTACACCAACTTCTCTTCCTACTAATTCTTACTCTTTGTTGCTTTTTTTTCCCCTCTATCACCTTCCCTATCCTGTTTCTCTGCCTTTCTTCTTCACTGCCCCCGACTTCTCTGTACATCCCTCCATCTCCACTTCCTCGGAAACATCCACGCAGAGAACAATCTTGTGTTGTGTGCGTTAATGGAGCATAGTCGAGTGGAGCAGAGATGGCAGGGGAAAGTGCCAACCATGCCCTCCTACGCAATAATATTGTCATGTTAGATTACCCATCAGCCTGTTGGCACTGCCCTGCATCTCCTTGAACCCACAACCCTGCTGAAGAGCAGCCAACTGCTAATGGTGTTTTTCTACTGAGAGCTGTTGTTTTTCAGGCAGTGCGGGGTTGAATCACACTGCTGCCTATAGCTCTCATTTTCAAAGTGCCTATGCTTTACTGTGATCTGTGCAACATGTCGCCAAGTTACCGACTTTGTCCTGGCTATTTTTATTTTAAACCCTGTATAAATGTTTATTTATAAATGTGAATGTTATGAGTGTCAATTGTTCAGTGCCTTGCTCAAGCGTACTCAGAATGTCATGGGTGCATTATATGTAACCCCAGCTATTATAAAAGTCAAGATATGAACCTGCCTGCCATTAAAGCAGCACCTTCTCTGAGAATATCACAACACTGTGGGTATCAAATACCCAAGAGTGCTTCAGCAAACAGAAGTCAGAAACACTGAGCTCAAAGCCAGTCATGACTCATTAGCTTGAGATTGTCAGTGTTGTGCAAGATCACACTTAAAGTGAACTATCTCAAAGACAAGTTCAAAAAATTGAAAATTAACAAGTTCAAGTTCATTATACATTTAAACTGTGCCCATTGTTAAAAATATGAACTACTTCATCTTCAATCTGTTTCAGCTGCTCTTAAATTATCTGTCAGTACAGCCTCCCAGACCTCAATTCAACTGTTAAATCATGGACAGATATTCAGAATAGAAACCAAGAAAAGTCCATATCAATGTTTGGTTCTGCGCAAGATTTCTGCCCAATAAGACTTTCCATGAATCCTCAAAGATAGGCCTGTCACTGCCTCAGGTATAATCAGGCCTTTTTCAGAATCAGAATACTTTATTATGCCAGAGGTGAATCTTTATAAAGAGGACTTGTATTAGAGGCAGGCCTTTATTTCATTTACTCTCATTCTCAGATAATTATGGCTGTTAATATTTCAGAACAAAGTGAGAGCCTAATTCACTAAACCTGACTAAAAATACACATAATAATACAATATAATGTAATTCAAAGAGGGTTTAATGCTCCGCAAACCGCACTTCTGAGATAACTGTGTCTTTGTGTAAGTTAAGATGATCCATCATTTGGACTAAATTACATTTATCTGTGTGTTTGTGCAAACGAGCCTCTTTACAAAAAAATAGAAAGTTACAAACTATTAGAGATTTTTACCAAGTTTGCTTGAGTATCAATGAGGAATATCACTTTCAACTCTTACGACAATGACTTTGGACGGCCTAGAAATAATACGTCCACACATAAGTCTGTCAGTATTACAGTATGTCAACATTTCTATGTTTATTCATTGTAAATGTAACGAGGTAGACAAAGTTTGAGCCATGGACGGAGTCTCATACTAGTTTCCCTTTTATTATTTCCTTTTCAAGTTTATCTCCTGTCCCCTAACCCTGAACACTCAGTTACAGAGCCATTATGCACAACAGAGTATTTATTTACTTTCAGAGGAGGATGTTTTTTACTCGCTGACTCCAGGAGGAAAGATGGTTATAAACTGTGAAATTTGTCACATCTGTCACAAATCGACTCCTCTCCATAAAAAGATGGGAATGATGGGAACATATACTATAAGTGGATTGAATTTAGTGCAGTTAGGATGAGAGCTCAAAGAGCACCGGAGCAGGAGAGGAGTTGCCGACAGTTAATGGCTGTCTCAACGAAATAAAAACGGGAGCGAACCGCACGAAAATGGCCTGTGATGTAGTTCACTGCAAATCTGACATCATAATAGCGCTGAATGTATGAATGGCAGTGCAGGAAGTCCCATGATTTCCATATTTACATAATGATATGAAATGAATTCGCCAATAACTGAAAGCTGGCCTTGATTCACTCCTACAGCTCATGATCAACGGGCTTGGGCACAGATTGGACGCCAATCTCTATTTGAGGATTTACAGTAATCCACCATGAGCAAGGCACTTTGAATCAAAACTAGCAGCAGCAACAGTGAGGGGAAAAAAAAGAGGTTTCACCAGGCAGAACCCTGAAGCAGAGCTGAACTCGTGTTTATGAAAAGTGAAAAAACAGATGACCTTGACTATACGATTAAAAAACATTGAAATAATCACTTGGCATGACAAAAGCATCAACTAGTCCTTTATGTCCCAGACGTCCGTTTGTATAGGACAGGTTTCAGCCGCGATAACAGGAACAATAGCTGTTTCGAAGTCTGTTTAAATGTCATTCACTTCACAAATATCAGGAACTGCTTCTGATGGAATTTATTCTACAAACTGGTCAAAATTTCCATTACACTGAATAAATTTCATGTTTGTTCTGACTTCCTCGAAACCCTCAGACTTCTCTTTATTCTGATGCTAGGTCTCTGTGTTAAAGCGTAGATATTTACTTCACAACCCACGCTGTGCACGAGCTGCCACAGACTAGCACATCCCTTTGTTCTGTGTTTTTTTTCAAGGGTAGGAAGGAAAACTGAGGGGGCTGATGTGAGAGGAGAATAAGTACTGATGGCTAAAAACGGCTGAGGGAGAATTTTTGTTAATTAGTGAGGCAGGCGTGGAGGTTACATTATGTTAAATCTGCATTCATGGCATCATCTAATTAACATTCAGGTTTTCAGTTTGTGAATATATTAATTAGGATTTGGAGGAGAGAGGAGGGATTGTCAACAGAGGACTCAAAAATAATCAATGGTTGATTAAGGCATCATTTTAAAACCTCTTCTTTTGTTAATTGACAAACTCTTGATTTTTCTGCAGTTGATTTTTTATTATATTTTATCTCCAAAATTCTGAAAATACTCTTAAAAATAGTGAACAAAATATTTCACATTCAACCAAGGTCTTCAAACCATTATGTTTTCCACACAGCTTTACAGAAGCATTTTCAAATCCTCTATTATTTAAAGGTCATTAAAGGTACAGTGTGTGGTATTAAGTGGCATTTAGTAGAGTAAACTCAGTTTAAGTGTTGTTTAATATTTGAGTGTTGGAATTAGTGTATAATCACTTGGATATAGACATTGTTTTGCTTTTGTTAACTTAGATTGCTGTCCAAGCTCCACTCCGTACTGGACAATGTCCCCCACTCTCTCCACAGTGAACTGGTCCTGCAGAGGTGCACCTTTAGCAGAAGGCTCCTCGCTCTAAGATGCACCACAGAGCGCCACAGGAAATCTTTCCTGCCGGTGCTCATTACCTGGACTCTGCTCACTGTTTTAGATGAATACGATGTTACAATTTGTGTTGTTTATAGTGTAAATACTTGTATATTATCTCTTTATTTTTATTTGTTTTACCTATCTTATCTATGTATCTCTTTATTTTTACTTGTTTTATCTATTATTTATCTCCTCTTTTTACTGTATTTGCACTGGAGTACTGTGACTAAAGAAATTTCTCCCTGGGGATTATTCAAGTATTTCTGATTCTGATTCTGATTGAGGCCATATCTCCAAAAAAGGCTGCCATCATGCACCGCCATTTGTATTGGTAGGAGTTTGTTGGTGAAAACTTGACAAATTCAAGGCCAGACTTACCATAAATACCAGGAGCTTCTTGTCCTCGAAGACCACTGTCAGGACTTCACCGAGGAAGGTGAGCAAGGGAGCATTTCAATCTGGAATCAACTGTAAGAAAATCACTAATTATTCCCATTTCTACACACTTAAATTGAAAACATCCAACATTCAAATATGCTTCTTTTCCTTGCTTTGAGTGGGAAGAACTCAGTAAGCAATATCTACAAATCTAAACTGATAATCTAGTTTATGATTGATGAGAATATGAAAACAAGTCTTGCACTGATAAGCTCCACTGAACACATACACGCCTTCATTCCTGCTGCAGGTCTGCGTTTTCTGTTCTGACTAAGCCGAATGTTAAATAGCTTGGAGCCACTGGTCCACCTGGACCAAACCATTACACAGAGTCTACTGGTGTATGTTGAGCTGACGCACTAAACACTCGTAATGGTAGATTTTCCTGAACACCAGCAGCTGCAGATGGCATCAGTGAAACAATGCTCCAGAGAGACGGATGAATTGTGGCTCCCTATGAACAAAGCTCATTGAGGACAAACAGATTATGAGGTTTACTGTAATCTGCACATAATGCATTTTACTCCCCTCTTTATTTCCTGTATAATCCACCACAATCCCATTTAATTGCATTGGCCTGCAGATTATTCTGTCTTTAGAAATGTAATTGTCTGGCTCGAGTGCAGCGGAATACTTTACATGTATGTATCCACACTGTACTTTCTTATTGTGGTAATTTTGCTGTGTGCCTTTTTATTGCTGTTTTGGAAGAAAAAAGTGAATTTAAAGGAGGAAGAAACAGTAAAAAGAAAGTCTACAGATGTTCACCTCATTTTGTGAAGCAAGACTAAGCATACACATATTAAACTGTGTGTATTAATCTCATAATGCGTACAGTCAGATCAGATTGGATCGTTCACTATGACAGATCTTTGATTTATTACCAATGCAGAACAATAACGACTTGTTCTCTCAATCACTTCATCTTCTCTTGATGAAGGCCAGCTCTCTTTCCTGTAAAACTGACAGTGTTATTGTTTTATTTCCTTTACCTCATACCACTAATATCCGCTCCTTTTTTATCACTTTCCCCGTGAATAAATCTTATATTGCTGCAACAAGCCAGGGCAGTGAAATAATACTCTATATTTTTAGTCTTTTTAGACATTAGATAAGCTGCTGTCAGAATTTATTATCCGCAAGAGGCATTTTGGGTACAGCCCAAACTTTTGATGACTTGAACTTTGATTTTAGACTTGATTAATGAAAAAAGACAGAAAAAAATAACATGATTTTTGAGTTTATTTTGGCATGTCAGACAAAAATCATTAAGCTGGCTGAACTGGAAGAGAGTTCATCTTCAGTGATTTGGATTATTTATGGGCAGGGAGCAATTCTCAGTAATCTTAGAGCTGTGAGTGACTCCTTCTGAGGGGGGAATAAAAAAACATATCTGGACTCAAAACTTGTTTTGCTTTAAGGATAACAGAGCTGCATTTATATTCAAAGGAGAGTGAGTTGCAACTTGTCGAAAGCCCTAAATCGATGGCATAAATAAGACAGGGCAGTGGTAGGTTAATGGGCTTTATGCCTTCTATCTAATTAGTAATATCAATCAAACATATTGAAGACAGAAAACAACAGCAGATTTAGTTTGTGGCATAATTACATCATATGGTAGCTGCTGCTTTTAGAGGGAAGACTATTGTTTATAATCTAATTTTCTGTATTTCCTCACATAATGGTGACACGTTAATGGTGTCTCTGGGTTATTAAGATAGCGTGCCATTAAATTAGGCCTGAATATTACACTAATTTAATGTCCTTAATGCACCATTTTGTTGTGCGATACACAATGAATTAGTGACTTGTTATTCTGGGAGACTCGATGTTTTCCATTGAGGCGACCGCCTCGGCAAATAACTGAGTGATTATCATTAATCATTCAGAAAACCATAAGTGACAATTGAACAGTGAAAATAGTTAATGATGCTCAAGTTGTTTTTGAGCCTATTCCTACTCCATTAAAAGTCTGGACCATTTATCAAACCTAAATTATGCTATTACCAAAAAATAAAAAAGAGGGAGAGGGAGAGAGGGAGAAGGAGGGAGAGAAAGAGAGGCAGATCTTGGAAATGTCACAGCTGCATCTATTCATTTCTCAGGTGTGAAGTGATTCATATTCCATTAAACAAATACGTAAAGAGTGTCTATCTCTCTCTAAAAATAAATTATCCTGACCTTCATAAAAATGAGATTTTAAATGCAAATCACCTCTGCAGCAGAGGGGAAACATCATCAATATCTTAGGCATGAATACCAATGATAAATGCGTCTGCCTGGAATCAATAAGTCTCAGTAGAAAGCCTGTATGTACAGCCGGTCGTTGACTATTTCTGTACTGTGGCCATCTGCTGTAAAAATATTTATTTGGAAATGAAGATTTTAAAGAGTAAATGTTCTGAACAAACTGCAGTATGACTGTGAGAAAACAGAGTCAGGTATCCATAAACTATAATTAATTGATCTATTGAGCAGGTTTCCTCACATTTATGCGATTCCACACACTGAATGGCACACTCCCACAGTCAATAACCTCCCGTCTGGATAACCGCAAATCACACTGAAGACTATTGACTCATGACATTTGTGCGTCTTCTCAGCTTCACCGCGCATTATCATTAAAGCTCCCGCAGAAGCCCTCCAAATCCATCTCTCCTCAAAGAGGGATTTCAGACATCAGCTGTCACAGTTTATTCCAAAACATCACGAGGGAACGAGGGCTCACCCGTCAGTCACCGAAGGGCCACATCTGGATGCACCGGAGTCCTGGCGGGCAATCATTCCCTGGGTATAATTTCTCAGACACACACATCATCTTCTCGGAGAGGTTGTACAAGAGGCCCGGCGCTCTGAAAGACAAGGGGAACAAAGAGGGAGAAAACAGCTATCATTCACAGAGCACCTGCTCAGCACCCCTTTCACAAAGCAATATAAAACAGAGCAGCTACTTGACCAAATCATTTAGACACTGACACGCAGGGGACACGAGGACAGCTTGACATTGAGCGGCAGTGCTTTCAAACCTCTCTTTTTTTGGTTCTCTTTACACGCAAGTGCTCACAGCCTCATCCCTGCTGACAGCTGTTTTTGTTGTGGGCTTGTCGGGGTATATAGAAACCTTAGGAGCAGTGTTTACTCGGCTGGGTTTGACAGATAAATGATATAGTTCTACTGATGTCCTTATAATGGCAACGTGTCAGTTAATGCACTGCTCTGGTAATTCAACTTCAGTTCCATCGCCGCTCACCTTAAACTTGTAATGGAAAAAGTTTGTCGTCTGTTGACGGGCATTGACATACACACACAAACACACAAACAGTGCAGAAGTTTGTTTCCAATGACTAGACTTTTTTCTTTTTTTCAAGTTTGGAAAGTCAGATAATCTTAAATCACAATGATTTTCTATGCCCTGAGATAACTCCTTCAGGCAGCCCGTGTTTTTTAAAAACGCCTCGTACAAATCACTCACTCACAGCTCTCCCAATGAGGCCACTGTACTGGCAAAGCGACGGTACCATTTGCAACAGGGTCCAATTAAAAACAGCTCAGACGACATCTCCAAACTCTAACCTTTGATATCTCATTGTGAGGTTTTGATCAATGACCTTAACAGAGCAACATCTGATCGCCGTAGTGTCTCAGAGATGCCACAGGACTGCAGAAGAAAAGCTGCACCTCTGAGGCACAGTTTTTGTTCCACTTCTTCGCCTTGTTTGCATAAATTCTATGCGATCAGGATCAAAGCAGATAAAACACTAAAAACAACCTCGGGGCATGCCCTGGGCGCAAAATAACCCAGAACTATTTTTTTTGTCTTAAAGCCGTGTCTTTCTGCTCATATTTTGTTTTCCAGGAAAATGGGGATTAACCTTAGAATAATCGGGTTATCTTACTGCGATTAGGATCTCTTTTTCAGTGTAATCCAGTAGGTCATATTGAGGGATACATATCTCATTTTGCTATGTTGACACACAGGAGCTTCGTTGTCATGCCGATCTGACTATTTTACAGCCTGAGAAGCTTTTTAGCTGAAGTCGCTCAGCACTTCCTAAAGCTCCCTCTTGACACTAAACTTCTGGGTCTTGTTCTGTCTACACTGACTGAGTAGGTGTTACGCGGCTGGATTCCCTCCAACCAATTACACCAGTCACTTGACTGAGCGGGGTGAATAGTGACAACCTGTAATTATCATGGTAAGTATTTTCTGAAGAGATTAAATCTTTCTGCACCAATGTGTCGGATCAAGATGGACTCTGTCTGCGCTGACAAATCAGCCGGGAGAAGATAGAGAGGAGAGGAATTTGAACACGGGCCAGCAAACCTCTACAACCCCACCAGAGACTCTCATTCCAGTCTCGCTGTTTCTGAAAGTTCTTGGCGTTTCATTTCGGCTCTTTTACATTTCCTCCGTTGAACACAGAGTCCATCCATCACCTAGCTGAGACCCTCATTAAGCCAAGTTATTTAGCATGTAAAAGCTTGTTTAATCATTCCATTACTGGTTTATAAGCAGGGATAATGTAGATTGAGGCAGTTTTCATGGCAGAGCAGAACCACTGCAGAACGACCTAGGCCTCTCTCAGCCTGAAGGGGTTCCTCTGCAGGAACTTAACAACACACTCACTGTTAGGGTTGCAAAGGGGCGGAAAAATTCCTGTAAATTTCCAGAAACTTTTCATGGGATGTTGAGCTGGAGAATTTTGGAAATATTCAAAACTGGAAACTTTGCATGGGAATTATGGGAATTTTGGGGAATTAATGAGAATTAACTGGAAATTGGGGGTAATTTAAACAAACGATCATATCCAAACATAAATGTAAGATTTTTGCTTTGTCATAAGCAGACATCCATGCAAAATAATACAATTAAAATAGAAGAAGTAGAATAAAATGAGAAAAAAAGCTTGTCAAAACACTAATAGAACGGCATGAACAGAAACATAGTTGGCTAAAAAACTGTAATGGTCTTCAAAATATTTGACAATTGATGTATAAATTATTGTATGGTTTCAGAAAACTGTCTTGCAGGAGTCAGAAGAAACAGCATCACATTTGAGGTAGCTACCACCACCAGAATAAGCTAACACCTTAAATGGTCAATGAAATGAAAAATAGTTTACATTAAGCACCTATTTTTATTTGATTTTTGCAAGTTATATCAATACTATTAAAGATCATAATATTATCTAAACTTACTTGACTTTATATATTCGGTGGGCTCAGGGGGTGTGGCCTCCATACCCCTGCAGTAATCAATGTGCTGTGTGCATGTGATTGAG